TCGCGCTTCACGCGTTTGTGATATCCGAATTCTTTCACGTTCATTTCGGTCGTCACGTTCTTGTGCATCTTGATTAGATCGGTAATTAACTTGGTTTGTAGCATTTCGGGTTCTTCTACCTAAATTGCTTAGTCTAATAAGAGGCAAATCTATATTATAGATTATTTTGTTAATAGTTTCCGAACGCGACATTAAATCCTCCAACGATGTATTCTGTGCTCCAACGCACACACGCACACTGTACGCACACACGCACAAAAATAACATGTCCCATCGTGATGCTTTTGCATCTTGGTGGCAGAATATCTTATCTTAACATGAATTAAGCTTACAGTGACTAACAATAAATTACAAGACAGTAGTTAATTAAAAACAATAATTCATAATAAATAGTACAAAATTTCATTTGCAATCCTTACGACACAAAACAATATAAAATTGAAGATATTTTTGCTTCAGAAGAACTTTGTTGTAGAAAATTAGCTATTTAAATAAATAAATAAACCAGTGGTGCTGTAATATGGCACAGATTTTCTCGCCCTAGTTAGTTTTCTAATCTCTTCGCTCTTGACTAGCTTTTGCGACAAGCTTCATTCTCTTCACAGTTGCTTTCATTTTGTGTCTCGAAAAACAATTTTTTTCATATTTTGTCAATTACTCGGCTTGGTAATGCTAGAACAGAAACCACCATACACTTATTACTAGTATGTAAGAATTCATGGCCGAGGCGGCTAAATTTGTGGCGAACGGGCTCAGCCCTTCGGAGAGAAGGTTACCGGGTTCGAGTTTTAGCAGGGAATTATTTCTTGTGACAATTCTGTATTGCTGCAGGAAATAATTGAGGATTCCAGAAACCTAATCTTTTAAAACAATTCTAATCGCGAATAATATTAATCAAGATAAATGAACTGGAAGTGTGTGTATGTAATTTTCGAATTTTTAACTTTTAAACAATTTTTTACATGTCTTATTGGATTTGTAAAATGAATATCTCGTCAAATCAATTGTTGACTTTTGGCGCTAATGACTGTGATTAAAGTTCCAACTCGCTGTATTACCCGAGTGGCCGAAGTAGTCGATTTCGGTCCGAGCGTTTCGTGGAGAAAGGCTGCTGTTTGGAGACTCGTTCAAGGATACTTACTTTTATAATTGTCTGTTGCTTTTAACCAGCAGTTATTTACCGCGTCGAGTTATGCCTTCCGAGCTGCAAACTTTTTCGGCCAATGGACATTTATGTTTCATTGTGTTAATTTTTCCGCCTAATACTAGAACTGAAAGACGAAGCTATGACTACGAGTATTGTAGTCCCTGTGCGACCCCGGTGGCCGAGGTTGGTTAAATGAAGTGAATGGCCCAAGGCTTCGGAGGCAAGGTCGACTTATTCGAGCCTCGTTCAGGGATGCCACACTTCTGAGTTGCCGAACAAAACTATTGAAAATCATTTGAAGCACTTCTAATAATAAATGCAATCAATTAAGATAAATAAATTTGAAGTGTGTATGTGGTTTTTGAATTTACAACTTTTAACCCTTAGGTTTTTTCACATTTTCTCAGCTCCGTAGTGCTAGAACTGAAGCAGTTGTGGATTGAGTAACAAGCTTTCTCACCCTTAGTAACGGTTACGTAACACTGTTTTAACGCAATTTCTGCCTGAATTAAAACATCTCATTCATCATTTTTCGTGAGGCTCATTACAAATCTTAGAACATTAGGTGCAGAAACTAAACATTTTCAAGTGATTATCAACACACATTTGACAATTAAAACTGTGTTTCAAACACCTAAATTATGTCCTCTCCCAACAGAATCTGATGAATTCACAGAAGTAAATAACACCCAGCAAAATAACACAATTATCTTGTCGCCATTCGATAATGAACTTCTCAAATGTCCATCGCTGCACCATCCAAGGCAGTGTACTGTGGTAATATAAAATTAAAATAAAATAAAATATTGTACACATTTTTTCTTCCATGTTACATTTAAATCGTATTTTTGAGAGAGAAACCCTAATTAAGTTAATTTTCATTATGTTCAATTGAGCTAACGTCAAATGTTTGTAAATATTACCGAAAATATGAATTTTTTGTATTCGCTCGCTTAAGAATTTGCAAATGGTTTACGCTGATTACCATGATAAGAATTTCTTATGAACAGTGTGTTTTGATTTGATTCGGATGAACATGACCGCATTTAAAATATAGGGATAACTTTATTTAATAAAATGATCCATCTTCGCAACGTTATAATAATACAGAGTCAACATTGTACAACACTACTTACGCAGTGCTCAAGAACATAAGTTGAAATCGTTTTATTACTGATATAGGTTCCTGTAATGTTTTTGGTTTCGAAGAAGGTAGAGATTTTTACTTCACGTAAAAATTGTTAAAGGAAACCTTTGGAGATGGTTTGACAAAAAATGGTTACTAAAAAGATGCAATAAGATAACTAAAAACGGGCGTGTTTAATAAAAGGAAACTGTCGAAGGTGAAAGGGTGGATGTGTTTAGAGTTGCCACCTATTGACACATACTCACCCAGAGATTTTCAAGAGGGGGGTATGTTTTATTTAACATTTACACATTTTTTAATTGTACAATCATAATTTTAATATATTAGTTTAGAAACAATCAATAAATTACATTTCCATAGTCAACAATCTATAAAACAAATAATAAATGATTACATTAGAATCTCTGTATTACTTTTCTGTAATATTTATTTTTAAAAACTGACTTTTCTTCCAAGTATATTTCTCATTTGAAACGGCTTTCATTAGTAAGCATACTTGCTTCTTATTGTTTATGAATTTGTGAAATTTGGCGCAAGACATATCATAGTTTAGTTTTGTAAAGAGTTCTACTTTGACTAATTCGACTTTCATCCTTTATTAAACAATATTTAATAAAAAAATGAAAATACAGAAAATGCGTGCAAATTCTTGAAATCTAAGAACAATTTGAACGCGTAGTACATTCAATATTGTGCATGACTCGGAGATGAAAGTAGTAAACCTGGAGCCCGGAGATTGGTCTCGAAACCTGAAGTCTTCGGGTGAAACCCGAAGAGGTGGCAACTTTACGAGTGTTTAATGCTAAAAAATCCATGGAACTATGCTGGTAGCAGTCCTGGAAAGAATAAATAAAGAACCGTTTAGAAAGGATACACAGTCACTGGAACTGTGGGTTATTGTATAATAATAAACATCTTTTATTAAATGAATGAATCGTTCGTATGTTTGGAAAAGACAAGTGAAGGATATAAGAAATGGATGATTGCACTAACGTTTAGAAAATAAAATATTATGAATTTGTAAAAGGGGAAGGGTGACTAAATTTATTATTTCAAGTTTAAGTAGAAAGTATTACTATTAAGAAATTGTGGAAATCAAGAGACATCTAAAATTGGAACATAAAAATGTAGAGCGAGTTTGAGCGAACAGAAGAGAAGAGTTGTCCTTTGTTTTAAAATGTGAGGTGGGGAGGGTGTACAACAATGCATATAGACTGGGGGGTTGGCGATCTGATAGTGATGACATCGTGGCAGAAGTGGAATCTGGAGTTTTCAGGTAAAAGTTGGTAGGAAGGTGGTAGGCTGTCGTAGAGTGGTGTTCCATAGTAAGGAATATAGTCCGCGAGTGATTCGATTGCGAGTTTGAAAAGAAAAGGATGATACCCGCGACGAAAAGGCGCAAATAATCGCAGCATCAGAGACGGCGCCATTTTACGGGGTCCAGTAACCATGGAGGTGACGCAGTTTTGCAACAAGGCCAAGATTGTAACCAACCAAGTAATTATTAGTGATTAGTTTTTTTTATTTTTAAAACGAATGGACTCGCGTATTCACGTTTAATAAAAAATGAAAATACAGAAAATGCGCAATGTAGTTTAAATACGTATAAATGAGTGAATGTTATTGAATTTGTTTTCTTGAAGACATGTCGTTGTATTTAAAGAGTAAATTTTATGTTATGTAACGTTTAAGTAGCATTTTGAAATCTGGTATTTGTCAATAAATAATGCTGCTCATAGTGATGGCATTGTTAAAATGTGTGTGTATATATTAGCAGGTAATATAAACTCAATGATAGGAGAAAGAATATAGAGAGCCAGGTTTCTAAATCAATATAATATTTCGGTTTCCTGTACAGGGGCGACTGCGCGAATTCACACATAATTTATATTTGTACTGTAGGAGCGTCACTTGCCGTAACGTAATAAATTGTCATTAGTTTACAGAGTTTGACTCGCTTAAGTGTGGGGTGAAATAGGAAAGAGGTTAATTATTAGAAATTTTATATCACAAGTTTATGATCCATTACAATACACGGTCTTAGTATTTACTTAACATATTTTTTACATTATTGTAGTTGTTAGTAGAAGTGTTGTAAAAATGAACTGAAAATTACTAATTTTCAGAAACGCAAAAACAATATTTTCAGAAAACGGATGCACATTTTCTACACAGTCTTGCTGCACACCCGATTTAAACGTTGGAAACCAGTGGCTGCCAGAAACGAGGAGGTGGATCTTCGCGGAGGGTGTGTTCACGAAGTTCTCAACAGGCCAGACACATAGCTAGAGCTTCCAGCAAGATCAAAGTTTGTAGTTACAACCTCTCCGCAAGGTGTGACTGAATCTTTCCTGCAGTTACACTGTGGTGATATTGTACCAGATGAAAATCGTATTGTAGTTTGCTTGAAAGTTCACAGGCTTTGTATTTTTAATTTTAGATAATAATAACGGATGTGGAATGGGAATGTCTCGAAGGAAAACGTGAAATTGTAGGAACAGAGTATTTCTGAAACGTACAAATGAATTTATTGTATGCCAGTCTCAGAATCCGCGTTCCCCCCTCTTACTGCCATTACTCGGTAAACTACCAACTTTTGAGTGCACAAGCCTCCACTGCTAAATAGTATGAGAAAGTCGTAGCATTCTGTAGCAACCACTAGTTTCATGATATGAAATTCTTTCCAACGTTTCATGTAACTGAAAATGGTTTTCATTAAAATATTTACAGAATTTCTCACATCTACTTGAAAGCAGCAAACACTTGTAATGTTTAAATTGTTTATTGAAATTAAAGTGTCCACATCGCATGTCTAAACTAGTGGTGCCACAAAAGAGCACCGACTTTCCCGTATACGTTTTCTATTTCTTTTGGTCTCTTCGGACTTGCCACATACTCTTGCTAGCAGCCATCTCTCTCCGCCAAAGTTCTTTTTTTATTTTTTCGCTCCTAATACTAGAACCGTATTATTACTTTAAGAATGTTGAAGAACAGCTAAACCTCGTACTTAATAGCAATTTCCTTTGAAAAATTTGGATCTGCTTTTAAGAAAATGGCGATTAAGCAGTACTGTGAATTCAAAATTTGAAGCACTTTTTCACAGAAAATGTTTGGTTTTCGAAAAACGTCAATTGACGTCACTTGAAGCACTTCCACCCACAACAACTAATAATATATACACATTTCTGGAAATGTGTACATTAACGACGTGAGAGATCTTTCAGAATATTACATTTGAATAATGTTAAAAAATAAAAACATAAAAATACCCCAAGAATACGTCAAATTCAAGAGCTAAAATAGCATTATTCGCTCGGAAAGTGTGAAGAAAAAATTTGGAGCCGGTTTTGTAAAAATGGGATTTGAAAGTTTCTAAAAATACGAAATTTTGAACTAGTATTCACAGAATTTTCTGTTGAGTATTCGAGAAAGTATATGTGATATTATTTAAAGCACACGTACTCATAAATGTAATGATGTGAATAATTACCGCTACTATAAATATTAACGTCGCGAGAGACAAATACAAAAAAATGTAGTTTCTGAAAAGAACAAAATAATAGAAGAAACTGATGTTTATATCATTTCAAACAGTACATTAGGCTCTATCCCTACCAAAAATTTAAAGAAAAAAATTAAGCCGCTTTTCAAAACAATTGTTTTTATTAGTTTCTGAAACTGAAAACATTGCTCACAATATAGCACAAAAACTGCTAAAAGTTTCAAAAATGTACATGACATGTCGTAATGAAAGAACGAATTATGGACCACAAATTTGAAGAATGGAGGAAAAATCTCTATCTTCAATTTTGTAGGTGTAGGAAGACGCTAAAAATTCTAACTTTTGCAATTTTCTAAAATTCCGAGTTAACCTTGAATATCTGAGAAACGCAACGTGTCTAGAAGTAGGCTGTCCGGGTGACAGTAATGACCTTGAACCGCGGAAGCCTACGTGTACATAAACGCAACGTTTATGAGTATTTTACTCTATTGTTACAAGAAATTTAAGGAAAACACTAGGAACTGTTTTTGATGAAATTTTGAAAATGAATGGTAAAATCCCGTATACGGTAGGGTAAAAATTGTTTGCATCGATGTGGACAACTTATATATGTTTTTTGACGATACCTAAATAATGACACGAAGAGGTAATGCAGCTGGAAATAATATCTGTGTCATTATGAACTCGTGGTAGCAGACAGCAACATAGACTTTTTGAGATGAAATTGGCTTTGGTTGACAGCGTCTTTTTGAATAAAGATCTCAAATTCGTATATGTAGGCACTTAAAACCTTCAAAAATTCCAGTTTCCAGTTTTTGAATTATTATATTTTTCAATGGTTTGTTGTTGTAAAGTTTGTCGGAATTTCAAAATGTGTTGCGTGAAAATAAAAGTCAAAATTGTGTATTTTCAGATTCGTTTTTTAAATACATTATCTTATAAACTGCTTGATTATATCGTCAGATTTTTATTTTTTCATATGATTTTCTGTACGTTTTATGATTCAATATTTCATGTGAAGTTATTTAATTTTGAGTTGAAGGCTCATCTTTGAGCCTGAGGTTCCTTTTACTGCCTTGTATCTAACTGTGGATGAAATCACAATTACGTATTTGTTATCTCGCTTGGAGGCTTTTGTAGACACTTTCGCTCCATACGAATATATAATGGAAAACGTCAGTTCTACCTTGCTTTCTGTAGTTAAAGTTCTATGTGATTAAATCGCGAGTTGATATCACAAAACTCTTTTCTTTGTTTAGGTGGAGGCTTGTCGCAATTATTGTTCTTACTCTCACTGGCATGGCGTACCTTATGTTTGGTTCAGTGTGCCTGATAATTGCAGAAGCAAATGTCGTTCACAATATGGAGTCTGGTAATGTACAGCCAGAGCCGATGAGGGGAAAGGGACAAGAGGATTTTGTATGGCCCAATGAGAGTAAAGCGATAATTGGAATCCACGATTTTGAATTAAAACTAGCAAAACTATGGTTTCCTCCACTTCCGCCTTCAAATCCGTCGCGCATGGCTCTCCTAGAAGTGAGTACTTGTAGTCATAATAAAATTATTTATATCAATATACTATAGTTCTTATATTACGTTCACATAAGTCCAATTCTTTCTTTTGAGACAAATAATTTTTTATTAAAAATTATACCATATTCCAAGAAAACACAAAATTTTGTTTAATATTTCTACAAATATACAATGTTTCCAACGACAACTGATGTACTCGCTTTCGCATTTAGAACTTTGATAAATTTAAACATAATAACAACGTACGTATACATTATTGAAATTACAAGCATTGTCTGTCTCCACCACTTCACACCCCAACATCGACCTTTCTGCACCACACAAAAAAACTAATCACTTACAGTCACCATCAAACAAAATCTCCCATGAGCCAACTTCGTCACATTCAGCGCATCCTCGCATGCCCTACGCCAAAGCACACACTTTGCCCCCTACACCACTTCACCTCCGCACGCTCTCTCACGCTCCTCCATGCAAGACACCAAAGCACACTTCAACACATTCAGCACCAGCATCCAACGTGCTTCCGCACATAACACTGCGTTACACACGAAAGCTCACAATTCATCGCACAGAGCACCACCGGGCACCACTGCCTCCGCAGATCCTACTACACTGCCTTTGGGTCACACGATGCACAGTTCAACACTACAGCACCAACGCCACCATCAACGTACGTCGTTAAATTGCTGTGAACGGGTCTGTGTTTAATTTGGGTTGAATTATTATGGTGTCCGTGCTAAGAGATAGAGTACTTGGTTGAAGGTGTTTGGTGTACTAATGAGTGTTCTCTGTTTTGATTTGGTGCAGTGAGAGGATGAGCGAAGCGTGGTTGTGTGTGCCTCAGTGCTTCGTGCACTGGTCATGTAGAAAGGTATGAGGAGTGGATGTTTGAGTTTGTACAATTTTGATTGCTATTTGTCTTGATATAGTACAATAAGATGATATGGACCAATGTCTTAGGTGCTGTGTGTGCCTTGGTGTGTTATATATCGAAGAAAGTGCTGTCGTGGTGTGCTAACGTGTGTGCTGTGGCGTATGGCGAAGATTAGTTTTATATAGAGCGCGCGTTAATAAATGTGATGCAAGTATCGTCATATGTGCTGTGCTGTGCCGTGCAGGAAGTGTGAGATGTGGGCAGAGGTGGTGTATGTTGGTTCTTTGTTGTGCCTTGCTGTGCCGCCTGAGCCCCCTGCGCCGTGGGAAAGGGAGTGGTGGGCACTGGCTGGGAAGGGTCGTCGTGGGGAGAGGAGGTGTGAGTTTGTTCTTAGATGTGTTGCAGTGGGGATCGTGGCCGCCTGAGACCCTCCGCCGTGGGAGGGCGTGTGGTGGGCGCTGGCTGGGAAGGGCCGTCGTGGGGAGAGGTGTGTGTTCGTTCTTTGTTGTGTTGCAGTGGGGGGCGTGGCCGCCTGAGCCCCCTCTGCCGTGGGAGGTTGTGTGGCGGGCGCTGGCTGGGAAGGGGCATCGTGGGGAGAGGTGGTGTTTGTTGATTCTTTGTTGTGCCTTGCAGTGGTGGGCGTGGCCGCCTGAGCCCCCTCCGCCGTGGGAGGGCGTGTTGTGGGCGCTGGCTTGCAGGAGCGCACCTTGGGCAGTGGTGGTGGTGGACGCTGGTGACGCGGTGCGTTGGCTGCCTGTGCTTCATTCTCGAGCGCAATCATCGTTGCTGTTATGGTCCCCGAATTTTCCTGTACCCGCCTGGGTGCAGCGCCAGAGGGGTTACGTCGTGGCTGCGCGGGATCTGGCACAACTGCACGACGTGGTGGTTAACAAGACGTTGCCAAGTGGAGTTGTTGGTCATGGACGTACTTTGCATCTGTACATCATGAGCGGTAGGAAAATAATTAAGCTCTATCACACATAAATGCATTTATAACTGGGCCGAATGCACGAAGTGGTGATTAACAAGATGTGAGGCAGAGTCGTTTGTACGTGTGTACTACGTAGTAGCAGGTGTAGTGGGTGAATAAGGTAGCTCTGTCACATAGACACTAGGGTTATGTCTTTTTACTCTCTTACGCTTAAGAAGGAGCGTCTTAAAAGAGACATTTATGTAATGCTGCGCGGACAACTGCGAATCTTTGGCAGAAAAACTCTTATTGCAAATGGTAACATATAAGTGAGTAAATCTAGTTTCTAAATGGAGAAAAAATATTCTCTTACACGTGGTGGTCAGAATCCGTGTTTTGTTGGTTCTTGATACCGCAAAATCAATTCTGAACGACTGTGGACAGTGCTAGCGGATAAACCGTTCATCAAAATTTCCCAAAATTAATATTCCTCAAAATTGATAGAATCGATGTGGCTGATGTCGCGGCCCTTTATATTTGAAATTGATATTTTAATTTTGGGGGATACTTAACATGAAGCCCCTGGGAAATTTTCAAAATTTTGAAAAAAAGGCAATCTATAATATCCTAAAAGGTGTTACTGTGCATTTCAAATTTTGAGGGAAAACATTTTTTGAAAATATAAAATGTCGTATTGAAATTGTTTAAAAAAAATTCAGACAGATAAGGGTTAAGCCAATGGGACAGGTTCACAATTTTCCCAAAAATAGCTCGAAATTTTTTCTTCAATGTTTTTGAATAGCTTCAAATCCTTTCTTCAAATTTTTCCAACAAGTAGTGCTAATTGCACAATTTAAAATGGCATAAAGTTCATTTTTGGGTATTATTTTGTTTTTTAAAAAATTACGCAACTACATTTTTTAAAGTATCTATCAGACCGTTAATATGCACAATATCAGCGATTGGTAAACACTATTGTATTTGTGAGTTAATGTATCACAAATTACTGTTGTTTTTTGAAAACTTAAACATTTTCTGTGGAAAAGAGGTTCAAATTTCGTATGAACAATAACGTTTAAACGCCATTTTCTTAAAAACCGCTCAAACTTTTCCACTGAAAATGGCTATATATGACGACGTTCTACTCTTATTTAATGTTCTTAATATAATATTTCGGTTCTACAAATAGGAAAACGAAAAATTGAGAAAATGTCAGACGTGTGACAGATGACAGCTGGGAAGAGGATGGTGCAAGACCAGTCCATACCAAGGAAATTAGAAAACTTTACAACGAGAAAGTCTGTGCCATTTTGTAGCACCACTAGTTTATTCTGTAGTCAAAATTAACACGCACCAAATTAAAAGTAAATTTGATTCTGATTTTTTTTTCAGATTTTTATTCATTTTTATTCTGATATTTCATGTAGAACACGTTACAATGATATTAAAAAAGGAAAAAAATCTCCTTTAGCCTTTTGTAATAATTCAAAGTATGTAGATAATCCTCAGTGTGTAGAACGTTTATCAGAACGCATGGAAGTAATGCCTTAACTAGTTTGGATTAAAATTGGATAGATATTAGAGAACTGAAGACCTATATTATAAAAGCACAATTGGGTATGAAAGGTAGTGTCGTAACAGTGTGAATAGTGCTGCTGAAACTCTGCTTTTGGTTTATTTGCTTCTATTGCTGAAAGTTATTTAGAATATTTCGTAACATAAAAAATAACATTTTGAGGATGTTAGCCGATGTGCCTTTTTCATCGTATTACTACTAGAAAAACTGCTACTTTAGAAGCATAAATGTCTTTAAAAATGTGATACGTAACATTGAAATATGAGTGACTGGTGGGAATTAGAAATTCACGGAAACAAACACACTTAAAACGCTTTCGAACAAGGAAATTAAAGGAAATTCACATACAAAGTATACTTTTTCTGTAATTGTCCAGCGACCAGTGCTCCTCTAAATGGATTGAGCATGGCATATGAATATTTAGTAAAAAAATCTTCTCAGAAACCCTTCCAAATTTTTTCTCAAAAATTTTCCTCAATTCAAGCAAAGCACGCTTGAAAATGTCGGTTTCCATTGATGCAAACTTTCTGTAGTTTTAAAAATTGCTAAAAAAATTGACAATGCAAAAGTACAATATTGAGGATAGAGGTAATTGCCTTAACAAAATCTTCTGACTAAATAGATCCTGACATAAAGAAAATGAAAATATCTCATTTGTTGAAAATTGCTCATACAAGTGTTAAACTTTTTCAGGCGGCGAGTTGATTGAGTTTAGTCGTGCTGGTGTAACGCCAACGTGCTTAGCATGTTAACAATAAAGACCTGAGGGCTAATCTTGGCGCAAAGAAAAAAATGTTGAAGCTTAGAAACTCTCGTGAAAAAGTGTTCGTGTTTGATTTAATGTGTACATAAATTTCTTACTCTGTATTCCCGTCTTTGCCCATCTCCAACGCTCTTTTATTTGGCTCTGCCAGATTTTGAATCAGCCAACTCGCGGGTGGGGGGTAGAATCCATCAGGAATTGGCAAGGAAGAATGCAGTGGGTAGGGTGGATTAGGAGCCATTGTTCATTACTTAGGATTGTATTGTTAACTTTTATTTCTTTCCATTAGTGACATCATAAGTGCAATATACTTTTGTTTTCAGAACATTGTTGCCCCGAAAAGCAAGTTCAATTTTCAAAGGATGCAGTTTGACTCCCGCTCACCGATAGTGCTGCCAGTGCGAGTCTCGAGTTTGAAGTTGCCTACAGTTGAAAAAAGTTATTCCAAAATTAAAAGTGTAATGGATGACTTATGGGAATGCCATATGTCTGTTAGAGGCATATTATTCCTCCAAGATCCATTTGGGAAGTACGTGGGCATTTTCAGAGGGGATCAAAGATATATGGAATTGTATATAATAAACAAGAATTATGTTCTACATCTTGCTGCAAAAGTAATTAATGTATTGTCTAGTGACTTGGAAGGACATGTGTTCATGATATTTCGGCCAGCTAGGTCCAGGGCCAAAAATTTTGTTTTTCGTGACGGCAGTGAAGTGAAATCTTTGGAACAAGAAATATTGGAAACATTGCAAGACAAACTACGCTTTCGTTTTGTCCAGGTACCTACATACCAGTTGACAGATGCAAAATTGGTGAGTAAAAAATCTCTTAAATATTCGTGGCCTTTTTGGTAGAACAATAATTATGAAGTATAATTTCTGACATAGTGAGTAGTAAATATTCGTAGGGGCCATGCACTGAAGAGCCAAAAAAACTGGTTCACCTGCATTATATTGTGAAGGGCCCCCGCGAGCACGCAGAAGCGCCGCAACACGACGTGGCGTGGACTCGACTAATCTCTGAAGTAGAGCTGGGGATAATTGACACCATGAATCCTGAGGGGCTGTCCATTAACTCGTAAGAGTACGATGGAGTGGAGGTCTCTTCTGAACAACACGTTGCAAGGCATCCAAGATGTGCTCAATAATGTTAATATCGGGGGATTTTGGGGACCAGTGGAAGTGTTTAAATTCAGAAGAGTGTTTCCTGGAGCGACTCTGTAGCAATTCTTAACGTGTGGGCTGTCCCATTGTTCTACTAGAATTGTCCAGGTCCTTCGGAATGCACAATGGACATGAATAGGTGCAGGTGATCAGGAAGGATGCTTACGTAGTGTCACCTGTCAGAGTCTTCAGTAAAGATTTGAGTCGTGCTGTCATCAAGGGTATAATAGTGAGCCTTCGGCTCCGGAATCCCATATCTCTAATGGTTGGTTCACACGCTAATACTTGTTGATGGACTAGCATTGAAATATGCAGAAATTTGCGGAAGGGTTGCACTTCTGTTACGAATAATGATTCTCCTCAGTCGTTGTCGGTCCCGTTCTTGCACGATCTTTATGAAGCGATACCGGTCGTTTGATGTTTTACCGGATTCCCGATATTCATGGAAAACTCGTCAAATGGTCGTATGGGAAAATCCAAATTTCGTTGCAACGTCGGAGATGCTATGCCTCATCTCAGTCATATAACCCAACGGACTTACTTAAATATTGATAACCTGCTATTGTCTTATATAGTCGTTGCCGACCGGATCTACAATTTTAGTACGCATGGCTGTTCCAATTTATTTTGGATCTTCAGTGTATTTTGATTAAAATATTTTTTCCTAAAAATGGGCAGTACTTTCTAGTTTATGGAATGTACAAGAATGTAATAGAATCCATATTCTACTCTAATTTTTACATTCACGCATTTACTACGTAGAAAGAGAAACCACTCCCTTCACTATCTCGTCTCTTATCAGTCGCTCTCGGAGCCCTAACGCGGGCGTTCGCGTGGGTTGCAATTGTTGTCCATTTGCAAAAAATTCTTATTAACTTTCTCTTGTGCTCAAAATCTCCTTTGTGAATATTTCGACAGGTAAGTGCATCTATATCAGTGATCAGTCGCAAAATGTTATACTAATTATTAAATAATAATTATTCATTTAAAATGGCAGAACGTAGAGTAAATGTGACAAAATAAATGCAAATGACGTATTTTAGAAATGGAGAACGAGTATAAGTATGTAGATTTTTGGCTTAACAAGGAAAGGAGCTAAGAAAAGGACATAGCAGAAATAGGTAAGAAGGGGATGGCTATGAAACAAGTGTGGGGAATAATTAAAAGAAGGTACAGGGATTTTGGGGCAAACGGTATGAGAATATACGAACTCGTATAATAGTTCTATTTTGGGGTGGGGAGCAGAAATTTGGTGATGAAAGGAACGGAGGAAACTAGAAGCAACACATGAAATATTTTTAAGATGGATCCGAGGAATACAATATTGCACACCTGATTACATGGCAAGATGGGAGACAAAGAGGCAAAACATGAGAATAGACATGGGCAAATATGTAAATTTGAGGATAGGATTAGAAGAGGGTTATTAAAGCAAGTTTGGTGGGAAATAGATTAAACATAGACTGAGAAATCTAATTGGGAAAGGGAAAGTTTTTGGAGTAATAAAGGTTTTTCCTTGGAGGAGGTGTCAAAGTTAAGAGGAAAAAGTTTAAACTTAAGCAAAGAATTGATCCAAAGAGGTAAAGATCCGTTATTGCAAGAAGAATATGAAAAAAATAAAGATTTTGAAATATAATACATGGTATAAAATTATTCAGGTGAATGATATTCCCAGCTACTTGAAAAGTAAACATAAGGAAAATTGCATACGTAGAATTGCAAGATATAGGCTATGTAATGAATTGAGAGGGAGCAAATATTGGCTCAATAGTGTAGGACGGATCTGTGAGAAGGAAGAAGAAGAGTAGGAACATATTTAGGAGAGATGTCTCGTTTTTGAGGAAAAAAGAACGTGGACAAGGTGGAATATTCAGGATAAGGTGAGGTGGTTATTGGGCGGAAGGGGTGGTGAAAGGATCAATGTGATCGATACTTACTATTTGTTAGGTTACAAAGTTTACAAAGTGTTTACAAAGTTAATAAAAAAATCGTTCAATAAAACTTTAGGTCATTTATTTCTAAGCATTATAGTTTTCCAGCGTTTTGCGCCTATCCGACATTTTCTGGAAAGGATGTTTTTTAATTTACTCCACGTTTTTGCTCGACGGTTCAATTGTCAAAATAAACTACACACTTCAAGTTTAAAGGCACAGCTTTTAATAGATGACTGACTACATTTGCACTGTCTCATCTACGAATTTGTTTTGTTGTCCAGAATACATATATTTCGAAATCTTATAAATAAACACAGCCAACGCCAGTAAGAATAATTTGTATCCCCATTCATGTGGTTTATGGAGATTATTGTCTCAGGTGATGTCTATTAGCACAAATCTGTTCCTCTACTTGGTTGAAGTGTTTTTGTTTAATTTTTTTCTTTTACTATTTATAACCGGACGTAACTTGAAGAGCTTATAAATTTTTGATGAGAGTTGAAAGCGAAACTACCTGTTAATTCTAAGACAGATTTTAAAATAAAAGTAAATGAATACGATGAAATCCGTCGTTTAACCTTCTCTGTTATGAAAGGTATGCATTTGCTTACATCTTGTGCTTGCCCTTTTGTTCACAGGGACGCCTTTATTCGCTCGTTACCGAACCAGAAAGATATCCGGAAATTGACACTATAGAGCAACTGGCGTGTTCCTCTTTGTCTGTTGTCAGCTTTAATAAAGCTGGCTTGAAACTTTTTGAGTTAGGTACAGCGCTTGAAGAACTTTCTGGCGCCCAGTTGCAGGCACGTCAAAGAATTCTAGAACAAAGCATTCGTATAATAACGACGGAGGAATTTGAGATGATGGTAACAAAAAGTCACAATGTAGCAGTTCTTCTTGATACCTCTTCGTGGATAACTTCATCCAGAGAAGTATTGTTTGGAAGGATAGTACATATACTTAAAGAACATATCTTAGAAAAAGGAGAATGTTTAATAACAACTAAGTAAGTATTATTTATATTTTTTATTATTTATTATTTTATTATTCCTGCACGTTTGCTTCTTAATTGTTTACATTTAAATGATCAATACATCGCGTATAAATTCAAAATTATCAGATGGAAAACTATGTTGTTTGCCTATAAAACGCGTGTCAGACGAAGAGTTGCGCAACTATCAACACTTTTTCAGTAATTATTTTCTGTCTGGAAACTTGAACACTTATCATCCTCTCTCCTGGCATGATGTTTTATAAGGAAGTTTCCAATTTATCACCCCATGAGCTTCCAATGACACGAACAATCTTTAGAACAGTGTGTGCAGTCACGGACCTCCTAAACGATGGCCACTTTCATATAAATCAGTTACATGTGTCATTGCTTGAGAGGAAATTGTCAGTTGTTAAACGCAGAACCTATGCTGGGTACGCTAACCTTCCAACGCGGGAGGACGAAAAGGGAATACTTGCAACGCGGAGGTAGAAGAAGGCCTGCTCAGGGCTCGGCCAAGGTGACCCTGCCCTTCACCCGGCATTTCGCAGTATGGAGAAAGTTATGCAATGCTGCGGGGGAAAACGTCGAATTTGCGGCAGAAAACTGCTATCACAGGGCACTGGAAACGAAAAAATGGATAAACTCAGTTGCTAAATAAAGAAGAAATCCTCTAATACGTGGTGTAGCCAGAACCTATGTTTTGTGGTTCCTTGATACCGAAAAATCTATAGACGGAAAGCCGTCCGTGAACAACACTAGTAGATAGTCGTTTTCTCCAAAATTGATTCTCTCCAATGTCTGATGTCACAGACTCGTGTACTTAAACACGATATTTTAATTTTTAGGGATGCATTACATGAAACCGCTGAGTCATTGTCAAAATTAAAAAAAAACTTTAACATTTTTTGATTAAATTTTGTTGTTGGATCATTACGTTTAAGAGTGTGGCGCAGGTGTCATTTTCGATGACATTTCTGAGTTTTTGATAAATTACAAAAGTTCAAAATATTTTCGGCGTCTTCTTTCAAGTACAACTGGAAGCTGGCAGTACTTTCCAAAAAACAAGAACAAATTAGATTGTGGTGAAAAAGTGGATTAAATATTAGCTATCTGCAATTATGTTCCCTCCTAATAGCTTATTTTTATCATTTATCTGAATATTAATATAAAGGTTACTTTTCATGACAAAAACCGTTATCAAAATAAATAATTTCATTAATCTCAAATTGTTCTTATTCCACTCCACAAATTGAGTTTAAGAATTAGATAGTATTAGATATTACTTGCAAAATGTAAAAACAACCAAAAGTAATTTGTAAACCTTAGAAATTGCAAATACGAAAAGAATTAAAGATTATTAAAGCACATGATAATACCTTTTACCGAACAATTATATTCTTGCTGTTTCAATTATTCTCATTTCTGAAACATATTGTCACAAGTAAAGCAAAGATTATTAATTTGCATTGAAACAATGTTTAACCATTAATTAATTTGAAAGCCAATAAATTTCGAATGACTTTTCAATTAGCAATTTTGACGTGTACTTGACTAAGAATTTAAGAAATTAATCAGTATTAACGGAAGATCAAATAGACTCTAAGAAGAGCGCATTTTTCACTTCTAGATTTTTAAATTGAAGGGATTGTACGTGCAGTAAGGGCGCGATGAAATGAAAATGAAATGTATTACATATGGTATTCAACAACCATCGTGCAGTGATTTTTTAAATTGTGAAATATATTCATCAAAAAGAGATTTTTAAATAATGTCATGTTCAATATTTAAATTTTATACTACATTTAAAAAAAATCAAATTAAATTTTGTCTTTAATTTTTTTTTACTTATGTAGAAAAGAGCGGTAAAAAGAGTATGTTTGTTCCATTTTCGACGCACTCTTAAATTTCAAAAATTGAAAATAAAATGAAGATAGCAAATTTGAATATCCCGCGCCTCGTTTTGAGGCGATGTTACTCTAATGCCAATGCAGTTTGAAATGTTCTTCGAAACTATCATTCGAATCTTGAAAATAAAGATTGCGTTTTATGTTAGTAAATCATTAAATCTATGCTAAGTTAAATCTATGCTAAATCTATGCTAAGTTAATGTGAAAACGAACCGCTTTGGGTAATAAGATGTCGGAATGACGAGAAATTCATGTAAAAACGAGACCAGTGAGACCCCGTTCTCCTAAGTGAAACAGTTACTATAAACGCTGATAGTGTGTGTCCAGTGTGTGCAGTGCTCCGCGCATTATCAGTGAGACGTTCTTAAGTTAGCATCAGTTATTTAATCGGTGATATGTGTGTCCGCGTGTGCAGTGAAAGTCCCGCTTATCGATCAGGGAAGCGGCCGCCCTCGGTTACGGGGCACCAGGATGGCGGAAGAGAACTCATACAGCAGCGGCCGTGAATACAGCTGGCTGGGAATACACAGCAGAGAGACAACTGCTAATCGATAATACAGTCGCAATCGCAAACAATGCAACAAAACCTCCAGAAGCACAGTTAAAGTTCAACGCTATGAACAATCGACGCAACTTTACAATACGCAAGTATCGCAGCAGAAGACACAGAATATGCTACAGCCGCGTTCCTCGGAGAACAGTGTATTCCATCGACATCAACCAAATCAGGTACAGTGCAATTCTAACTTTCCTACCTGAATGGCAAGTTGTTCGCTCTGCTAAGCGTAAACGACGTGACAGCGGTGGTATAGTAACTCCACAGCAAGCGCCAAATACGAGTGAACTAAAAAAGCAACAGGTTTGAAGCACTGCAACGCATTATAAACAACTCCGACAACACGGAAAAGACCGCCACAAGCAAACGAATATGAATGAAGATAAGCTCCAAAAAACTCCGCCTATATTTATTCTAATGTTGTAAAGGTGCCCTCGTTCAACAGAGTCAACTACGTGACAGCCATCGGGCAAATAAATATTACATATAAACATGTACAACAATGAAGTAAAAAGTCCACCAGAGACAATAGAAGCTACAGAGATTAATAAAAATTCTAAATGAAAAAGCAATGTACACCAGTAAAAACTAAAAAAAGAAAGAGCATTTCGAGTTGTCCTTAGGCAGGTACACACCATGCTGTTGAGAGCAAAGAGTATTCAAAGTTGAACTTTGAGGAACTTGGTCAAAAGTCAGGACACATTATACATTCGCCATAGATCGGACAAAAAGAGCCAAATGCCTTTTCTACGTCGACGCTAGAACCACGGCGGAATAACGCAGAATATCTACAAAACTTACTACATTAATGCATGCCAAGTGCAAGTTCGAACCGCCGTATAAAAAGAAGAAATAGTACAATGCTATAGATGCCAACAGTACAATATAGTCGTGCTATGCAAACGAGAGTCGTAGATGTGTGAAATGCGGAGAAGCACACCTTACCGAAATGTGTCTAAAAAGATAAACAAACAAAACCACACTGTGCACTTTGCGGAAAGGGAAACCCAGCAAACTACAAAAGGCTGCAGAGTAGACAAAGAACTTATCAAAAGAACATACCAACAGTGATCGACAAAACACTTCGAGGAAAAAAACACTACGCAAGAACAGTACAAACCAGCTATGGAAAGATTTCCAGGGTTAAACTCTTACTCAGCAATGCCCGTCGATCCTTGCATAAATATCACACGCAAGATAAAAATGTTCGATCGCGTATACAGCTTAACCAATCAATAGTAGTATGGAATGTATTACATGAATCATTTTGCAAGATTTGGAAAATACTTAACAGCAAGCAGAACAGATAAGTTCAGTGCTAAATCTGCCTACGATTCTTATTTTCAAAATTAAACTGAATTTGTATAACCATCGTGGCATTATAACAGCTATCAACTGGAATGCAGAATGGCCTCCTACAGCACAAACAAGAATTAATTTTATTCCTTCAGAATTATAAAAATTGACATTATGTATAGCGAAACCATTTCACCAAGAATAGTATTCTCATCTGGCTATGTGACATACACACACAACATCCAGATGGTACTGCTGCATGGAGGAACTGCTTCTTATTATACGGACACAAATCAAACATATTGAACTAAAATCCATACAACTTTGGAGATACTGCACACCCTCTGTCCACTTCAAGATCTTCGCCAAATCAACGTAACTGCAGTGTACTGTCCACCTAAGCATAACATTTCAGAGGCAATGTTCGAAATTTTCACACATATCGGAACAGATTATGTAGGTGAACTACAGATGCAAAAATTGCACTGGGGGTCAAGAATAAATAACACCAAAGGTAGACGCCTTTACAATTGTATTCTTAGAATAATCTTACAGTGGTCAATGGAGAACTACTATATTGGCTACTGCAGAGAAACAAAATACGCGGACTTCTAGATTCTAATTTTAAAGGTATTTCAGTTGATAAAGATTCGTATAGAACCAAATATGATATGTCGTCAGTCATGCCCTGTAATACTGACCATCAGCTCCGAAGTGTCACAAAATCTCAGCACCGCCAAAAACTCTACAACAAACTCACAGACTGGGACAAATTCGTGAAAATTATAGGATAGTAAGATTACTAGCTAATGTGCCACTGGCATAACGGAAAGATATCGAAGAAGCCACAGAACATTGACTAACTCCATTCAACATGCCGCTTGGGACTCAACGCTCAAATTGTTCAAAGTAGCAATCAACAATTCCATAAACATAGAGAAAAAATCAGAGAGAAACGGCGGCTAGACGTATTTGATGACAACCAGGCACTCTGAAGACAGATAAAATCTTCAATAGAGCCTCCAGACAGCTGAAGGAATTATTGAAACAACTCAGAACATGAATCATTTGCACATGAGTACAGTCCACTAACAGCAACTGCAACAACAAACTATTCGATCTGGAGGGGCTAGTAAGAAAATAAACGCCCACAAATTCAAATACACGCTATAAGGAAGAGAATGGACTATGGCAAAAGTGCAATCAGATAAGTGCAAGTTATGTGGAAACACGTTTGACGATTGTGAACACTTCCTG